AGCGTCTCCTTGGGGTTCCCTCTCGCAGCGCCCCCTGCTGGAGAGCCTAGGGAGTGGGAGGGATGAAGTGGGCTGTCTGCTGACGTCTCTCTCCCCTCAATTCCAGGGAGCTGCTGGAGTCCACGCCGTCCCCTGTGGTCTTCTGCCACAATGACGTGCAGGAAGGTGAGTGATGGGGTGAGACGCCCCCGTCGCCTGTTGGCGGTCGGCATTGCCAGCTGGAATAGCCCAGCCTTGGGCCCGCTGGTGCCTGAGCCACCACTGCAGCGTGGCTCCCCTCTGAGGTCGGGTTAGGGGGAACCTCGCTGGCCTAAGCGCAGCTTGCCCCAGGGAGCAGCCTAAGCCCTGCCTGGGGGCTGACCCGGGGCCAGTCCTGCTTCGGCCCCAGGGCAGGGTACATGGGACCTGAGGGGCTCCCCCAGCTGCGGCTCCCCAAGGCAGCCGCTCTCACCTGTCCTTCCCCTTCCCAGGGAACATCCTGCTGCTGGCTGGGCGGGAGTCACACCCCACTGACAAGCTGATGCTGATTGACTTTGAATACAGCAGCTACAACTACAGGTGGGTGATGGGAGGGGCAGGGTGGGTGTGGTGCCGAGCCATAAGCTGGCGTGTATAGGACCTCCACTGCCCAGCCCGGTGCTCCCCCTGGGCCGTGCTGCCTACACGGGGCTGTCGGGATGGCTCTGGGGACGGCTGTCCGGCCTGGTGCTCCCCCTGGGCCGTGCTGCCTACACGAGGCTGTCGGGACGGCTCTGGGGACGGCTGTCCGGCCTGGTACTCTCCCTTGGCTGTGGGACCCATACGGGGCTATTGGGGCAGCTCTGCTGCGGCTGCCTGGTGGGGTGGGGTCGGGGCCACGAGGAGGCTGGAACCCTGCGATCATGGACGCTCCTAACCCCCCTCTCCCTGCAGGGGCTTTGACATCGGCAATCACTTCTGCGAGTGGGTGTACGACTACACCCATGACACGTGGCCCTTCTACAAGGCCTCCTTGGAGAACTACCCCACGCGCCAGCAGCAGGTAACCGAGCCGCCCAGCTGGGGGAGCCCCGGGGAGGGTGAAGGGCAGACAGGCAGTGAGTCCGATCCTTGCCAGGGTGATGCCCTGCGGGGTGAGGTGCTTGCGCTCTGGTTGGTGCGGCTGTTGCTGTTGGGATTGTTGTTGGGTGTTGGGCCCCGTTCTGAGCCCCCTGCCCCGGGGAGCTCCCCCACTCCTCCTGGGGGAATTCTGCACCAAAAACTTAGATTCTGTGCAGAATATTTTAAAATTTTGCAAAATTCTGCATATTATTTGTCAGAGTAACATAGTATAATCACGCCAGTTTCAGTTATTTTGGTAATTAATTTCAAAATACCAGTCAGCAAGTGTGTCTGTAACAGTACAGACAACGCAAAGCTTCAGGAAACATTTCTTGACAAATAGATCCTCGCTAGGCCTGTTAATACAGACCTTTGAGTAATTCATTTCTACTCTAATACAGAACCGGATTCCCGCCCCCCTCGGAAGCAGTGCAAAGGCTGGGGGGAGTCGGGGTAATGGAGGAACTGAGGGAGAGGGAAGGAGCCTGGGAATGAACCTGGTGGGTTGGTGGGTATGGCTGGGAGAAGGTTTTTGGCGGGGGAGGGGATTGTTAGGGAATTGGGGAGCCTCCCCCATGCAGGCCCTGGGTGACCCCTAGCCTCTCCCATTCAGCCAGGAACATCTGCCCCAATCCCCATGTAGCCCTGCATCCCCATTCAGCCCCCCCCCATCCCCATGTAGCTCTGTACCCCACTCCCATTCAGCCCGTGGGTCAGTGCTGTCACCCCACTAGCTCCTGTTCCCCCCACTAGACCTTCTGAACCCTAATCTATGTGACCGCCCGCAGCCTGTGTGCCCTGTGCTGTCCCCCTCCCAATATCCCATGCCTCCTCACCTGGCCCCGCGGGCAGGGTGCTGTGAGGAATGCAGCCTCTCAGCCTCCCTCTCTGCGGCTGGCTGCTCCACCCCTGAGCCAGCTGCCCTCTCTTCTGGGTCCACAACAGTCTCTGGTGCATAGAAGGTGTAATTGCAGCACCTCCCAGGCAGAATCTATAATTCTGTGGGGGACATGAATTCTGCGTATGCGCAGTGGTCCAGAATTCCCCCAGGAGTACCCAACTCACTCTGGGCCTCGCCCAGCTGGGCAGGTAGGCAGAGCCCTAGATTCCCCATCCCCTGCACAGCCCAGCTCCCCACCCTGCGTTTGGGGCCTGAGGCTGAGACTTGCTCACCCTGCCTGCAGCTGCACTTCATCCAGCACTACCTGTGGGAGGACTCGGGGCGGTGCGGGGACACCACGCACGAGGAGCAGGCCCGCATCGAGGAGGAGATGCTCACTGAGATTGGCCGGTGAGTGAATGACCATGGGCGGCAAGGGGAGACCCCCACCCCCGTTTCCCCCACACGGAGCGGGTGCAGGGGGACCCCCACTCTGCTGCCCTCCCCAAGGACAGATCTTCTCTTTAAAGAGCCCTCCAGCGCAGTCAGGCATCTGTTGCAGGCTCCTTCTCCCAGCCTTGCTGCACAGCCTGGGGGTGCCTGAGGGGCTCTGGAAGGGAGCCAGCGGGACTGGGGGGGGGGGCTGTGCAGGCTTGGGGTGGAGTCTGGGACATGGCACAGTGGGGGGGTCTCTCCCAGCGTCTCCCCAACGGCTGCTCTCTCCCCTCAGGTTTGCTCTGGCCTCTCACTTCTTTTGGGGTCTCTGGTCCATCCTGCAGGCGAAGATCTCCACCATTGAGTTCGGCTACCTGGTGAGCATGGGGCATGGCTGACTCTGCCCCTTGGCTCCCACGGGGCACTGCCCAGGGCTGCCTGCTGAGACGGGGACAGGTCAGGGGGGCCCAGCCTGGTTCAGCGTCCTGAGGGGCGTCTGTCCTAAGCTCTCCTTTGCTGAGCACTGTGGGTACCCGCTGCCTCCCTGTGCCAGGCCCTCAGCGTGGCTGCACGTGGGTCCTTGTGTTCTGGCTCTGGCCC